ACAGCAGCAAAGCAGCAATTTAGTTCAACCACACAGCTCAAGAAACTGGTTCCTACAGGAAATTCCCCCATTTTAGAAGTAAGCAAAGGACAAAAAATTAGTTCCGGCCCAGGCACACCACCAGTGCCTCAGACCCCACCCAGGTGCCTGAGGCATTGAACCAGGGACCAGACTCTCCGCTCACAACCAGGCACACCACCAGCACCAAGGAGCATGCCAAAAACGTCACCTCCATGTGGGTGGCCCATCACAGCCACCACAGTAACCACAGCTGCTGCTTAAGTGAGTAGACATCACAACTACCACGGAGATGGTCCACCAGCCACAGGAGTGCATTGACACAAGGAGAGTCACCAGCAGAGACCAAAGAAAAGAAGAGGATGTCTCTCTCCACAAAGCCCATTCCAGAGTGACAGAAGAAGCATCTGCTCTGTGATAATATGGGGGGAGCTGAACACACCTCTCAGCATTAGACAGATCATCTAGGCAACAAATCCACAGAGTAACCATTACTCTTTCAGAAGGAGAGAAGAAATCTAGGGTTATCAGTGGCAGGATGGGGGAGGGAGAGGGGATAGGGAGAGATTGGACAAGGGGCATAAAGAATAAGTACAATTTGTAACAATATATATACTAGTAATATTGATTTGATCAGCATATGTCAACACTGAATCCCCAAAATATGTATAATTATGATTCAATAAAAAATAAAATAAAATAAAAAATTAAAATTAAAATTAAAATTCCTNTAATTATGATTCAATAAAAAATAAAATAAAATAAAAAATTAAAATTAAAATTAAAATTCCTGGTAAAATTGAATTAAAAGATAATAGAAATCCGTCCATGAACTTTTTGAAGACCCCTTGTATGTACAGTGCAGCCTTAAAAAGGAAGAAAATTCTGACATGTGCTGCAACATGGATGAACCCTGAGGACAGTAATAAGTGGAAATGAGCCAGTCACAAAATGACAAATACTGTATGATTCCACTCATACGCGGTCCCTAGAGTAGTCAAATTCATAGAGACAGAGAGAGTGTCAGTCTGGGATGACGAAAAGCGTTCGAGAACGGCTGCACAACCATGTGAGTGTGCTTGACGCTACTGAATTACACACTTGAAAATGGTTAAGATGGTAATTTTATGCTATGTGTATTTTACCACAATTAGAAAAGATCCCAGAAATAGTATTTCTCCTGATGACTGAGGTGCCATTCCCGTC